GGCATTTTGCAGATTAATACAAGCTCCAAACAGCTTATTTTTGGAGATAAATTTTATTTGTGCTTTTTCATTATTTTGTAAGTTGTTCTTTCAAGCCAACTAATCACTCTAATTCCTTAATTTTTGCCTCATAAAAGTACAAGAAGTCTTCAGTAAAATGCTGCTGCCAGCTATTGCCATAAGTGATAGGATATTTGAGTGATAGTTTTCAAATTCAATTCTATTATTCAGATAAGGACATTTAGTAAACAGTTGGATAATAGATAAAAATGTAACATTCAGCCTAGTCCAGGCAATGTTTAGACAAAAAGTCTATTAATGTAACCCATACTATAAAACATACTTTCTCTTAAAATAGTAGTTCTTAACCTTCTTTTAAGTTTTCAAGAATTGTATCAAAGTTCTTTCCATTAAACATATGACATATGTATATTCACTTGTTCCTATAATTTCTGAAGTTTTACAGAGAAAAGAGCTCACCGGATTAAGAAACCTTGCCCCAAAGAAAATTAAACAAAAACAAAGTGTGTTTTTTCAGCAAATGTCATTCTACTTCAAAAACCCTTAAGCAGCTACTACAAAATGCCCCAGTGACCAGTTCCTTTGAATCAGTCTCATGCACAACCTGTAAGCTCTGCTCAACCCTCTAATGTGAAGTAACATTAGATCACTTGCCATAAAGCCATCTTCTTTAAAGTTTCATCTTCAGTCTTTTCTTTCTTAGTTCAAGGTCTATCTTGCACTGATGGATTCAAAATAATCTTACTGTCTTTATATAGAGCTCAAAATACAAGCCCAGGGGGTTCAACTCTATACAGATTTAAACAGATAGCTAATTTGTTTCAGAACTACTTACCATGTCAATACCTTGAAAATACTTTGCAAGCTTAATCCAAAAGGAGGTACGGGTGTGCTCCCCCCACCCCCAGAAAGAGTGAAGCTGGCCTAATTCCCAGGGAGAAGAAATAGCTGTTACTACATATTAGAGCTAGGCATTCCATTCCCCAAAACAACTCTCTCACTGGCATAGTTGCTTGAAATTCCTGTTCTTATTTAATACTGGGGTGAAACATTTCATTGCAAAATCAAGATAAGGTTTACATTTCAAATACCCCGAAAAAGGTTAATTCAGGTAAATCACTTTAGATTGGAAATGACTGTGGAGGAGAAACAACAGAGGCAGGATGCTGGATGCAAACCTGATACTAAAGACAAAATGAGGTGTACGTCCCTGCTCCCTGTTTCACCTAGGACAGGCACCACAAGGAATAGCAGTCAGTTAAAAAAAAAAACTTTACTAAATGTTAGGGGCTGTGCTAGGTACTGAGGATAAAGTGATGATGAGAATATCGCTAAACACACCATATTAATATATGAGAAGTTCAAGCCCCATCAGCAGAAAGAGACAGGCCCTTATACAAGTCAAGTTACAATTATAGACGCAATGTGCAATAGTAGAACCGAACAATGCAGTTTTAAACTGTTAGGTGGTGGTGGAGGGGAGCTGCAAAAAAAAAAAATATATATATATATATAGCATTTGATTTGGATTTGCAAAGATGCAAAGAATTTTGCCAGGTGGGGGAGTGGTGGAAGGGAGAAGCTATTTCAGGCTCAGGGAACATAAAAGCAAGGCATGGAAGCATGAAGAATACATAGAATGCTCTGGAAAATCACTGAAGCCTGGGAGAGAGCCCTGATGGATTCTGATGGATTTTATTCTCTGGAGGAGGCTGAGGCTGTCTCTGGACATTAGTTCCTCATATATTTCTTTATGGAGAAAAATTATTTTCTATTCTTTTGAGATGAAACATTTAAGCTGATTGTTTCTTATTTAAACCATGAAGCTATTAAGATAAGAGATGTTTCAAATTCTTGATAAAAATTATTGATTAAAAATGAATTAAGAGTACAGTTGATTCTAAATTATTATTTGAAGTTAAAATTGAGCTGCTATTACAAACCAGAGACTACAAGCACTCTTGAGTCAAAGAAACCCAGTTCAGTTGACAACAGGCAACAGTTGACAACTCAATACTCTGTGGTTAAGGTCAACCAAGAGTTTTATTTCACCATTGTTCTTATTTTCCTTGGCTCCATACATATTATTTATCTTTAAATTAAATAAGAAATGAAGAACATATTTTTGTGACTGCCCAGTTCTGATACGGGTCACACCAGTTTCATATACTTGAATGTAAGATTTCTGCAGTTCCACCACATGTCCACTAGAGGCCTGTGAAGATCTTTTTTCCCCCCGTCATGTAGAGTCTCATAACCAAAAAGGCCAGGATTAAAACAAATAAGAAATATTGATTAAACATCAGTAAGGTAAGGATCAAATGGATAGGTAACCTCACGATAAGTATCATAACTGTGGATAAAATAATAAAAATTCAATACTCTTTCAAAACTCCAAGATACTACATTGCAAAACTTGCAAAACTTCTGATATATAACCGAAAACCAGCAAAGATAAAAGTAGGGTTTCGAAGTCTTCAGCAACCGTTCCAAAAGGCCACCAGGCTCTGTCAGGCTTTGACTAGGCGGAAGTACGCACCAAGTGGTGAAGCGGCCGGAGTAAAAATTGCCAGCAGCCTGTACGAGCTTTTGAGGAAAGGGGCTCCCAGATCTTCAAATGCATCCTAAATCCAAAAGGCGTGCCACGAACAGAGGGTCAGTTCCCGGATGGAAAAGTAAACAACACAGTAATTTAAGACAGATGGGCCGAGAAGGGACTTCCTAAATAGCAACTCTATGGAAGTAAACAAAGGAAGACAGATGAGATATGACCAGGACGCTGAGAGGACACAGACCAAAACAGACCCACAGTGAAGCCTGTGGTAACTCACCACTCAAGGGGAAAGAGGGTGACTTAAAGCAAAACACGTAACACATCCGATTTGCAAAGTCAACTGCAAGACTGCGTGCGTACTGGAAAATTTACTAGAAGGATGACATGCCCTGTGACAGTCCCCTTACCATCTTGTTATATTCAAAACAGGGCTCCTGTCATGGCCTCCTCACACAAATATAAACAGAAACAAAAAACATTAAAACTCACATCCACCGTGCGGTGCATGCACATGCGAGTGCACGATAATGCGCGCGCGCGCGCACACACACGCACGCACGCGCACGCACGCGCTACTTCTAGTCTATTTACAGAAATGGCCTGTTTTTCACTAGCTTTGGTTGATTAGCAATCAGAAGAGAGTTGTATGGGGTTGGAAGAGAGAACCCTTTGTTTGGAAAACCTGTGAAAATATTCCCTCAGAAGCTTGTAACTTTCCCTACACATCACCCTGGCCCTGAGGACAAGCCCGTCTGCCAGAAGCCTCTCTGAGTCACACAGAGCTCACATTCAAAGGCAGTTCTCTTTGTTGTCCCCCAGGAGTTAAGCCTTAATGGGTTTACAATTTGCAGGCTTTTTTGGAGAGTGGCTGGGTGGCTGTTGCCTGCTGCCAGAAACAGAGCAGAGACAAACCCCAGCGCATCCCACAGCTGTTGCCGCTGCCCCGGCTGCTCCATTGGAGAGGAGGACAGTTGCCCGAGGCATTTCAAAGACATGCGAGAACACAGGGAGACTTTATGAGTCCTGGAAGTGCATTTGCAATTATTGGGAGCAGATGGTCAGTACGCATGGGGAAGAAGGAGATTGGAAACGTTGTTCTTCGGTGAAGACCATGGCAAATGGTAATTCACCACGTCTGAGTGTCCCCAAATAGATCCTGTATGGGAAAAGTATTCGGCTGTAATGTAAGGGGATCGTCTGCGGCTAGTTAGCTTTACTCTCACACTCCTGATTTCTAGACCTAAACAGTCACAACCCAAGGACAGGAAAAAGCCAGTACATGCACATCTTACCTTGGTTAAAGAGAAAAAAGGGTGTGGCCTCTCTGGTGGAGACAGGGAGAAAACTCATTCCGGACCCGGGGTTTCCAGGAGGCAGCCTGTCTGAATACTGCCTCCAACATGACTTTGTCCAGCCCCTTATTTCAGAAAAATCTTCGTTTTAAGTCAGGGTACATGGATGGTGGGTCACTGTTTAATGATTTGGAGAGTAGAGATGTCATAATCTCCTTTTGCAAGCTATACCCACTTGTTTTCATGGCCGTTTCCGGTCAAGGGCTGCTTTTTGATGCAGGGAATTCTCTTTTGCTGAAATCTCAGCCTATTTCCTGTTATCCTCATGTTGATTCATCTGAGAATCACATTATCTCTTCTAAAACACTGTTTATTTAGCCCACTGTGACGTCTAAGGTCAGCCTTTACTCATTTCGCATCTGAATGATTAATTTTC